TAAAATTGTGGGCCCTGTGCGCCTGCCCAACTTTTTTTTTTTTTAAAAAAAATATGTTTTTAGTGATTTCATAGAGAGGAAAGGAGAGGGAGAGAGAAACATTAATGATGAGAGTCATTGATTGGCTGCCTCCTGCACTCCACACACTGGGGATCAAGCCTGCAACCCAGGCATGTGCCCTGACTGGGAATCAAACCATGACCTCCTGGCTCATAGGTAGATGCTCAACCACTGAACCACCCACGCTAGCCAGGCTCCACTATATTCTAATATATATGCTCATCTCTATTCCTGTCCCCCACAAGAAAAATTACTTGAAGATAGGAACTATGTCTTTCTCTTCTATTTATAGTCAGTATCCAAACCAGAGTTTGGCAAATAGGTTCCAAGTAGATGTGCAGAAAAAACACATTTTGGCCAAATGCACAATACTCTAGTGTTAAAAACAATATTCTGCCAAAGCTGAAGATTTCCATCATAGAATAAACTTTTGGGATACAAGAGTAAACCTTTATCAAGAACATATAAATTTTGGCAACAGGCATGAGTGTAGCTACAATTTTATTATTAAAAATTTTAGTAGTTGATTTAAGTCTGGTATTATAGTACAGGAATAATAGTTTCTCAGCATTAGAGGATTTCTGCAGTCAGCATTCGTCACATTTTTGATAATAAATGCTTTATGATTCCTAAATTTCTCCATATTTATTCCATTGTTGATAATTGCAGGACACTTTTATTTACTATTTTCCCATTCTGTAAATCATTAGATTCACTATGAAATTAACTACATAAGGGCCAGAAATCTCTGGGCAATAAAGGAATATAAAAGCTTAGTTGAGCCCAGCCCAAGTTGCTCAGTGGTTGAACACCCACCTATGAGCCAGGAGATCACGGTTTGATTCCCTATCAGGGCAAATGCCCAGGTTTTGGGCTTGATCCCCGGCAGGGGGTGTGCAGGAGGCAGCCAATCAATGACTCTCATCATTAATGTTTCTATCTCTCTCTTCCTCTCCATTCCTCTCTCTGAAATCAATAAAAACATAAGAAAAAAAAAAGCTTAGTTGAATTTATCATTAATATGTCAAGATATCAAACTATAAGATTTCTAGTTGTTTATACATAAGTAAATGTCAAATACATAAGACACAAGTGGCAATCTGGAATTTTCTGAATTTCCTACTTTCCTAGTCTAATAACAAATCACTAGATGGCGATCTACCCTCTCAGGATAACTACCTCTTTGGCCACGACTTGTTAATAGAAATGAGTAAAACATCACTACTTGCTTATAGCTAATCATATATAGCAAGGGTATGAGTAACACCACCTCTAGGGAAACCATTGACAAAATGGGTGCTCCCCCCTTTTTATACTAAAGAGCATAAGAAGGCTGAGCTCTCATACCTCCATGACATCTGCTTCCACAGCAGGAGTGCCTGTCATTCCTCCACTCTCCTAACACCCGGGCAGCAGCTGGAAAAGAGTGAAGAGCTTCCATCCCTACAAGGCAACTAATGGACTATCACAGGCATCCATCCACCTACAGGTTAAGATACTGTGGCCTTTAACCCCATCCCCAAAAGGTATGTGTAAACGTAGTATGCATTAATAGGAATACTAGTATGAAATAGGTAGATTAGATATTTTATATTGGATAATCTTTTGTTGGGTTAAATAAGCCTATAGTTAAAAATGTGTTTTTTTAAAAAAAATAAAAAAATATATATGTAAAACACTGAAAATGACAAATGAAATAAGAAAAACAGAAACAGCTGGGCCAGCATGGCCCAGTGGTTGAGCATCCTCCTATGATTCAGGAGATCGAGGTTCGATTCCCAGTCAGGGCATATGCCTGGGTTGCAGGCTCCATCCCCAGCAGGGGGCGTGCAGGAGGCAGCCAATCAATGACTCTTTCACCATTGATGTTTCTGTCTCTCTCTTCTTCTCCCTTCCTCTCTCTGGAATCAATAAAAACATATTTTTAAAAAAGAAAAACAAAACAATAAAAAAGAAAACAACAAACAAACAAAAACTAAAAATATAAATTTTTTTTACAGGCTACCTCTGGTCTGTTCCGTTTCTAATGTTAAAGCTGTCAAGTGGATGTGAAACAATTCACTGTACGCCTTAGACACTCTGTAGCTTTGACACCTAGGAGTTATCATTTTTTCCTAGAGGCTGACTATTCATTTCCCCTGAATATTTAAAAGACTTTCAAAGGTAGAATTTACGTCAAGCCTTTGCACACTATTTCCCCACATATACCTGGGCAGTTCTTACTGCTTCACTCCAAGTTCCTCAAGAAGGTGAGTTTGCAAGCCACATTTTTAAAATGCAGATTCTTGGCCCCCACCCCCAGAATTCAGATCTCTGTAGAATGCAGGAATCTGCATTTTAAATAATCAGCCCCAGGAAATTCTGATAGGGAACCTCACTTTTGAAGCACTGTTTTGATTTTTCTCTAAGACCCCAAGGGCTGATTCTATGTCCAGAATCTTCTGCTTTAGATTTTGAGATAATTTATGTTCCTTTACTGGTTTCCCGTGGTAAATCTTTGCAGACCTCTACAATGAAAGCCAATGTTTATCACATCCTCCAGAGGCTCCTTCTCCATACAGTCCACACCCAAGCCCCCAGCTTTCTCTTCTAAGAGTCAGATAAGCTGCCAAAGTCCTGTCTCTCAAACCTCAGAGTTAAGAATGGGGGTCTTGCCCTCGAGCCCACAACCCAGTCATGTGCCCTGACACTGAATCCAGCCAGTAACCCCTCAGTGCATGGGACACCACCAACCAACTGAGCCCCATCAGCCAGAGCTGCTTCTTTGTTTCTTTCATTTTTAAAGATATCTCTGGGATGGTGGTTTTTTAAAATTGATTTCAGAGAGAGAAAGGGAGAGAGAGAGAGAGAGAGAGAGAGAGAGAGAAACATCGATCATCGATTTGTTGTTCCACTTCTTTACGCATTTATTGGTTAATTCTTTTTTTTAAATGCAAGGGTTTTTTTGTGTTTTTTAAAAGTCTGTGTGTGTTTTTTTAAATTGATTTTAGAGAGGAAAGGAGAGATATAGAGAGATAGAAACACCAATGAGAGAGAGAGACATCAATCGGCTGCCTCCTGCATGCCCCCACTGGGGATTGAGCCTACAACCCAGGCATGTGCCCTGACAGGGAATCGAACCAGTCTGTTTCCCACCTGCTTCTCCCAAACGTGGGCAGACATTCAGAGTCTGGGACAGTAGTAGCTGCTGAACCACAGCAGTGTGCTTTGCCAGGAAAGTTTTTGTGCAGGGAATGGGTGTCCTGGGACAAAGGGCTACAGAGCTTAGACAATGCTGCTGCTGTGTGCCCCCAGCCAGTGGGCCTGAGACGATTCCTGGAGACATTTTTGTTGGGTTACTGCACACCCACAAATAGCTGCTTTCAAAAGCAAAAAGAACAAAACTTGACAATTAGAGGGTATTTAGAAAAGGCATTTTAAAACTAACAGACACACAGATGTGCCTGTTCCTTCTCGCAATAGACTAAATTGCTCTCCCAGCCTCCAGTCTCTCCCACACCAATCCATTCTGCACATTGTAGCAGGATTGCGCTCCTTAAAGCACAGATTTCATCTTTTCACATCAATGCTCAGGTGCCTTCAATGGCTCCCCATTGCCTTTAAAATAGCCAGCCATTGAAGATTCTTTATATGGGAGCCTCTCTTCTCTTCCCAGTCCATCTCCCACTGCTCCCTTGGACATCTGCTGTGCCGAATCCCTCTCCAACAGGGCTCTCTTTATCTCCCTTCCTCTGCTCTCGCTCTTCCCTGACTCACTTCTACCCAATCTTTACCACTCTTGGTTTAGATGTTATTTCTTCTGGGGGCCTTCTTTCTTACCCACCAATGCCTGGACTGAGTTACATAACACCCTGAACTTCCTATTTCAAAAATAATGGTCATTTGTTTAATTGTTTGTCTTTCCTGCTACACAACAAATTCTATGAGATCAGGAAGAAGACAAAGATGTTTGTTCCCACCACTTCTACTCAAAATAGTACTGGAAGTTCTAGCCAGAATAATTAGGCAAACTGTAAAGGAGGAACTAAAATTATCCCAATTTATAGATGACGTCATGTAGAAACCCTAACGATTTTATAGGCCCTGATTGGGTAGCTCAGTTGGTTAGAGCATTGTCCTGATTCGCCAAGGTTGGGGGTTCGCTCTCTGGTCAGGGCACATACAAGAAGCAACCAATAAATGCATGAATCAGTGGAGCAACAGATCAGTGTTTCCCTCTTGCTTGCTCTCTCTCTCTCTCTCTTCTCCCCCTTCCTCTCTCTCTCAAAGCAATAGGTAAAAAAAAAAAGATTTTACAGAAAAAAACGTAGAGCTAATAAACAATTCAGCAAAGCCATAGGATGCAAAATCAATATGTAAAAATGACTAGCAATAAATGAATAGAAAATAAATAAATAAAAAATAAATAAAACAAAAAAAGTATAACAACAACAAAAAAGAATGGCTAGCAATGAGCAAACTGAAAAGAAAATTAAGAAAACAATTCTATTTGTAATAGTTTCAAAAAAGAATAAAATATTAGGAATAAATTTAACAAAAAAGTACAAGACTTGTACAATGAAAACTATAAAATTTCACTGAAAAATTTAAAAAAGATCAAAATAAATGGAAAGATATTCCATGCTCATGGATCAGAAGACTTAATATTATTAGGATGGCAACACTGCCAAAACAACCTACAGGTTCAACGCAATACCTCTCAAAATCTCAGCTGCTTTCCCCCTCTCCCCAAATTGACATGCTAATTCTAAAATTCATGTGGAGATGTAAGGGACCCAGAATAGCTAAAATATCTTGAAAAATAAAAATAAAAAAAAGATGTCGGATTGAAAAAAAAGCTGGAGAACTTATGCTTCCAGATTTTAAAACTTACTACATATCAAGACAGTATGGTATTGGCATAAGAACAGAAATATAAGTTAATGAAATAGAATTCAGAGTCCAGAAATAAGTCCTTATATTTATGCGCAATTAATTTTTGATAAGGGCACCAAGAAAATTCAGCTCCATTTGGCACTATTAACTAAGGCTGCATTTACACATATGCCTGGCACACAGTAAGAGCTTAGTTAATGGTAAACATCACTATTGGTGATTTGGGTTCCACTCTAATGTCTCTTATACTCCCATGGGTCCCCAAACCTTGGCATCTCAGCACCTCTAGTGGCTAATAGCAGGCCTTCAAATGGTATTGATTTTGTAATATTTAATCAAGTTAACAAATTTCTAAACTTGCAGAACAGTCTGTTGATAGCAATCCACCTTTTCCATCATTCTTTTTTTTTTTTTTCCCCCCATCATTCTTTCAAAGTGAGAATGCAGTACCTGAAAAGGCCCAGGCTTCCTCTTGGGACCCTATTTACATTGCCAGGAAAAGGAAGTTTTTAGAAAAGATCTTTGCTAGCTCTAAAATTAATTGAAATCAACTTAACAAATGTTTGATTTAAAAATTTTATTTTTAGACATTTTCCTTTAAGCATTTAATATCTTTTATTGATTCAGTGGCCAAATAAGGCAGCATCTGCTCAGTTAGGAAAGGCACCTGTCAGAAACAAAATACACAAATGTATCACAAGATCCCTGCCACAGGAGACCAGCTGGAGACTCCTTGACAGCAAGGACTGTGACTTAATATTTAGTAGCACCTCAACTTGCACATAGGAGCCCTTAAAGGACTTTTATCTGTTAAAACAAAACACTGAAATCCTTTTATTCCCCACCCCCCTTCGCCTCTGCCTCTCTACCTTCCCTTCTTTCCTCCATTTCCAAGCTTTCATTTAGCAAAAGAACATATACTAGAAGATAGCTCTTCTAGTAATTCCAGGACCAGTCTACTGTGGGCAGAAGAGTCTGGTTTGGGGGCTGGGACATGCCAAAAACATTTTTTTTTAAAGCAGAGTAAGTTTAGAAAACATCTATTTGGAACTTAAGTCCTTAAAGAAATGGCTTTGCTCTGGTTCCACGCCTTGCTCCTTGGGCCAAAGTGGTGGGGGAAGGAAGCAGGAATCCTTAGAGCGTGGGTGGGTTTAGAAAGGGCTCCCCTTGCTACAATCATGGAAGCTCAGAGGAGGCTACCAACATGGCTTTGCCACTTTCGCTTTGGAAGCTAGACCCCTGACCTCCACTCAGACCCACGGATAAGCCTGTCCTCTTATTTGGCCCACAGACAAATCCATGTTCTTTGAGCCAGGATGGTGGAGGAGAGTGTGATACAACAAAAAGATGGACTTTGGAGTCAAAGAGACCTGGGTTTGAGTCTTTGCAACTTACTAGCTCTGTGACTTTGGACAAGTACTTTTTCTCTTTGAGTCTGAGATTCTCATCTGCATATGGAAAAAGAATACACCCCCCCCCCAAGGTTATTGGGAAAAACAAATCTTGTAAGATAAGTTATGTGAAAGCACCTTGCAACGTGCCTGGTACTTGGTGGATATTTACACACAGCACGGAAAAAATATGTTTGGGGAGGAAGAATTTGCCAGTTATTTTTCCAGACATATTCAAAGGAGCATTTTTCTAGTGGGATGACATAAGCCGTGTGACCCAGGGGTCGGTCCTCTTACCTCCCTGATCCTCAATTTCCCCTCAAAATGGATTCTAACCCCAAGAGGGAGAGATTCCTAGAATTTGAAGTTAAATGTCAGCGTGTGTCTCTTTCTGTAACAGAATAAGGATTGATTACCTTGTTTCAAAGATGCCTTCAATTGTAAGATGCTCAATTGATTTAAAAAGCAGCCAGAGAGAAAACTACATTAATGAACCCATCAATTTTCAGACACATTCTGATTTCAGAATCATTAAAATGTAAAAAAAATATGTTTTGCAGTTGAAGAAATATCATAATAGCAATGCTGGCTCCCATTTATTAAGCATTTGCTGGTGCCAGGCAGTCAGAGCTGCTTTACAAAGACCATGACTTGCTATTGTAACCCAGTGAGGCAGATGTGATCATTCCCACTTCGAGGTCAGGAAACTAAACACAGAGAGGTCAAGTCACTTTTCCAAGGCCACACAATCAGGAAGTAGGGCTTGGAAGGCAGGTCTTAATTCCAAAACGCTTTCCCCCTCAGTAGATTATAGTCCGTGTTGAGGAGTCAAAGAGATCAGCTCTCTATAGAGAAATGAGTTGTGAATGAGGTACTTTGAGTGTGTCCTGAATCTCTGCAAGGTGACTAGGAAGGGCATAGGTAACAGAGTTGTAATCTCATCAGTGTCCAAATACGGGTCCTCGGAGAGGACGCGTTAACCAGAGACTGAGGACTGCTCAGAATGCAAATTGAGGGCAGCCAAGAAATGACACTGAGCCAGGGTTACTCTGCCAGAGGGGAAGGAGGGGCCCTGGCAGCTACCAGGCTGTTCCAGGCCCATGGGCACTACAACAAGCTTTTGTCCTAGAAGCCACCGTTTCTCAAGGCCACCCTATTCCTTCTAATCTGACTCTTTACTAATGAATTAGAAATCTTTGGAGAATTCATTTTTCTCCTCAACGTTTCTTAAAGGGGGAAAAATTTGCTGACCAATCAATCGTCCTGAGCTAGCTAGCAGTCATCTGGTGCTGGAATAAATTACCAATTAATGAGCTGGTTTTCTGGTTAGTTAGTCCAGTTAGTTCCCCTGAATATGGGATTGAATAGTTGGCTCTGCAAAGCTGTGGATATGGCCCTTACTCTGACATGACCCAGTTGTGACATTCTCGTGAGCACGCCCTGACCCCTGACCAGAAAACTCCTGGGCTGTCTGTCTGTCTAGCTATTGTGTTTGGGGGGAGGGAGCTATACCCACATCATTGGATTCCCAACATAGCTCTACCGCCTCAGATGACAAAAGAGTGTGCCACAGCTTTTTGGTAAGGTGGCAGCAGAGATATGGACACCGTGGGGATGGGGCGGGGCGGGGTAGTATAGGGCTAGGGGTTGCCTGAAGCATCAGGGATTGCATGAGATGCCCCTGTTGACGTGAAGGGAAGGAACTCGTAGTGAAGCTGCCAGAGGAGAAATGTGCTTCTTGGTCTTGACTGGAGAAGGCTCTTCAGACAGTGGCCAAGGTAGCACCAGGGTGGGGGTCACCGAGTCTCCACTTGGACATCAATGGGGCTGAAGGTCACAGTGGCAGGGTGTTGGCTGCTGCTGCTGCTGCTGGGGCCCTGGGCAGGAGGGGAGGCTGGCGTGGGTCCCTTGGGCTCCAGCTCCCGCCTTGCTCTCATTTTCCTGCAATGAGAGAGGCACGCACGGTGAGTCTCCCCGCGTACACCCCAGGGAATGGGTTCTGCGCCTGCTGCTCAGGCCAAGAGAGTAATGTAGATCGTCATGAAATCATGGTGCTTAATTGCCAACCACAGCGTTCACAACCGAAAGGGACCTTAAATATCAGTCTGACCCTTTAATTTTTTGTCTAATTTAGATTAGATATTTTAACTCAACTTTTTCCTATTAATGAATGAGCATTCAAGACGAAACAAAGACATTCCATTCTCGGTAGCATGAGTTAAATTTGCAGCCTCCTTATGCTTGCTAAGTTTATTGCTAGAAATATTTAGTAACTTTTAACATAACTGACAAGAGAATATACTTAAAACGTATATGCTGTCTTTCATTTCATATGCCATAAAATTCAGTAATTAACAACCATTCATTCTAATGTCTGCAGGATATTTTGTCTTGTTGCCCTATCATAATTCTTTTCAAAAATTTCAAATCCTCAGAAAAGTTGCACAAGCAGTATAATTAATTTCCAAATACCCTTCACCAAACAATCCACTGGTTGTCAACTGTTTGCCACATTGGCTTTCTTTCTCTCCCCTCTCCCCATTTACACACACACACACACACACACACAGAATTGTTGTTTTTTAAATCACGAACCATTTGTGAGTTAGTTGCAGATATCATGCCACTTTACCCCTCAATAGTCCCAAGAACAAGGGCATTCTCCAGTGTAACCATAACACAATCATCACACTTCGAGACCCTTCCATTTGAAAGATGGTAAAATCGGCACTGAGAGGTTAAACGACTTGCCTGGTTGTGACAGACCAAACGTCATTGTAAGCAGGGGTGAGTGGAGTCTCCACCCACATTACAAGCTAGAAAAGGGGTTTAGAGCTCCAGCGACGATGGGGAGGAATGAAGGGTAACACGGGGGGTTGATGCCACTTCCTGGTTTGGGACAGATTCAAATTGTAACACCCCAAAGATTTAAAAAAATAGCTTATTTAATGTTATTGTTATTATTGTTGTTGATATTATATTATTATTATTATTATTATTACATGTAGTGATGGAAGTACTTTCTTTGAATTAGATGGACTGGGTTTGAGTCCCAACTCTGGCAATTAGGATTGAGTGACCCTGGGCATGTTATTTAATCTTCCTGTGCCTGTTTTATGTCTAAAACATTGGAGATAACAGTAGTACCCACCTTGGAGGTTGTGGTGCGGTATAAATGAGTTAATACATACAAGGAGCTTACAATTGTGCCTGGCACATAGTAAGAAATGAATCTATGTCATCTACCATTAGAAATAATATTAATTTTATTATGAAAACAATGCATGTTTACTACTCCTAAGGAAGCATGGACCCTTGCTCTGCAAAAACCAACAGCCAGCTACCTAGCAATCCCATACAGACACACTGCTTGTTAACCCCCTGCTGTGTCTCCTTCCGACCCTCCTTGGGGTGAGTGTGTGTAACCCAGGTGTCTGATTATACTGTACACACTGTTTCTTAAACTTTGACAATATTGTAAATAGCTTTCCTTACCAATAAATACACTTTTATAATATCTTTTTAAAAATGACTTCCAGGTCTTCCATGATGTGGTGGTATTTACAGTCTTTTAATTTTTCTTTCTTTCCTGAAAAGGACAGCCTTCTAGCAAAGTTGTGACTAGAGGTGATAAAACAAAATTTGTGCTTCATGCAGTTGAGTCATATTATTTTATTTCCTCTTATCTGGTCCTAGAAAGTAGAGTCACATGTACGTGCATTCCAGTATTTGTCACCCCAAATGTCCACGGTCCACTGAATAGAACCTAGTAGAGGACTCCCCAGGAGAGAATTGAAACATTCCTCCATTACCTGTATATATGTACAGGTGTTCGCTACAGCGCTCAAGGCCTTCATCATTGTCATTATCATATTATATTTAAAAAATATTTCTCCAAGTACAAAAATATCTGGTCACTAAGAAGTTTCTATAGTAGAACAGATATCAAAGGGCTAGAGCATTTGATGATGGATGCATGGATACTGCTGGGCATATGATGGGCATCCACCAGTGTTAGCTCCCACTCATTCTGGCATCACTGAAGGGCCCAGACAGTTCCAAAGGCGGGGACATCCCATACCTGTTGTACAGCTTCAGCAAGATCAGAACCACGGCGAAGATGATGATGACAACCACCACGATGGCAGCAACGATGGCTCCAGAGCCTACAAGGGGGAGAGGAGTGGAGATGACAGATGTGCAAACTGAATGCAGANGCCTACAAGGGGGAGAGGAGTGGAGATGACAGACGTGCAAACTGAATGCAGAGGAGCATTCGGAGACTGGGAAGGGGACCCCCTCGGTGGCACCTGATATCCCACTGGATCAAGGGGAAGAAGAGAGAATGCTGCAACTCACTGCTGACCCCAGGACAGTTACGCCACCTGCCAAAATGCTGCCTTAGGCAAAGTCCTGCTCTTACCAGCCATTACACAGCTTCAAACTGCTTTTGTGAAACAGGCAAGCAAAATACTGTTCCCTCTTTTTTTTAAAAAAAACTATTATTCATTTTTTAAAATTTTATTTTTGTTTTAATTTTGTATTGACTTTATTGGGGTGACATTGGTTAATAAAAGTATGTAGGTCTCAGGTGTACAATTCTATAAAACATCATCTGCATATTGTATTGTGTGTTCACCACCCCAAGTCAAGTCCCTTCCCTCTTTTTGACAATATGAAAGTAATACATAATTTTTGTAGATAATTTTGAAAATATCAATACAAACAAACAACAACAACAAAAAAAGGGAGAGAGAGGATAGAGGTCTCCTTGCCCCAAGAATCACTGATTGTCTACACATGTATACATTCACATTAAGCCAGCTTCCTGCCAGCACCAGAGCCTGGACCTGTTTATTACTGGGGGATACTCCACATGTCAGGAGGCCTGTTCCATTCCCAGAAATATATACCAAGTCAACAGAAATGATGGAAATGGACCCAAATCTTCCCATAATACAACCAACTGGTTTTCTGAAGAGTGACCCTTAAATTTTTCCTCCTGGGGACCCCTTTTTTCTGGCAAATGTGTCCCCTGGGCTAACTCTCCCCACCTACATTCGTTTTCTCCTGTGTGAACTGATGGGATGATTTTGCCTTGCAAAATTAGTATGAAAGTAGCTACACTTTAAGGTGACTTATTTAGGGACATCTTACAAAAGATTCAAATTTCCATTGCCCTCTAGACCCCAAAACTCCTTAATGAAAATAATAGTAGTAATAATAATAATAACCATTAGGTACTTAGTATACATGGAGCTATTCTAAGCTCTTTACATGGATTCTCTCTCTCAGCCCTCACACCTACCTGCCCCTGCATGGTAGCTTCATTACTATCCCATCTTATAGAGGAAGAAACAGGCAGAGCAGTGAAGTCACATGCTCAAGGTCACCCAGTTGGCAAGCAGTAGAACTGAGATCCAGATCTAGGCAGTCTATCTCCAGGGCCCACGCTTTTGACCTCTGCCCCAGTTGCTGATCACGACACTTGTCCCGCCATCCCTCCGCTGGCTGCCAAGCCAAGTTGACCTTACCCTTGTATAGAAAGTCTTCTTCTCTGGTGGTCACGTTCAATGAGAAGAAGGTGGTACCCCCCAAAGGGGTGGCTGCGGTCATCTCGATCCTGGTGAGAATGAAGATGAAATTTTGTTTCAAATCAGAGTAAATAACTCTTGTGTGATGCTTCTTTTGGTCTTTGTCTGGATGACTGGGGAATATTCAAGCCTTCAGTTTCTCTTAGCAGCAAATACAGGGCCCTTTACTATATACAGTGGGGAATTAAACACAATGTCTGACATTTGTAAAGAACTTCATTTTTCAAAGCAGTTTATATTCACTCAACAGTATTTATTAAGCTTCTCCTGAAGAGGTTTCACACAGAATGTCTAAATTGATCTTCTAGAAACTGTGTGAGGGAGGTGATTATTATTGCCATTCCACTGATGAAACCGAAGCTGCCCCAGGCTTTCCCCTCCCCAGGCCCCCACGCTGGGCCTCTCCCAAGAGCCCCCACCTTTGGGCTGCATCTCTTCCAGCCCCTCCCAGCTCCTGATGGAAACACCCCTCCTTTGGGGTCAGGTCATCTGTACCCAGGCTGGGGGCTCCGCAGCCTCAGAATGACCCTCTGTGGCCAGGCCCTGTTGATCTATATGATGGACTCTGCCCTCACTTTCTCTGCTCTCCTCTGGCTCTAGGGCCCTCCTAAAACCTCCCAGTTCTTGCCTGTCCCCTCCTCCTAAAGACCAGATCCTCGAGACTCGCAGTGAGGAGTCCTGCGTGGCTCTCCTCCTGACCTCCCCGCTGGCCTGGCTGACTGCGCTTCCCGTCTCTGGACAGCCCTAAACAGGCCCAGGTGGGCCATGCCCCACTGCCCGCTCCCCCCCCCCAGGATCACATTCTTCAAGACTCAGCTCCGTCACCCGCAGAAAGACTCCTGCCGGGCAGGGTTAGCCGTCCTGTCCTCTACCCTCCCACAGCAGCTCTCAGGGGGAACACGCCGCAGCACGCGTCTCACTGGCCGTGGCTGGAGTTAACGTCCCATGCTCACTGTCAGGTCTTGAGGGTAGAGCCTGTTTCTGGTTCTTTTTCATAGCCTTCTACCTCCCCCAGGTAAAGTGTCTGGATCCTCCCACCTTTGCCAGTGGAAGTACTTAAGGGAGGAACTGAACTTCTCCCAGCTTGGTTTGCTCATCTGTAAAACGAGGTAGCTTTTCCCAAGGGAGCTGAGGGTTAGAGGTTAAGTATGAAAAGCGCTTCTTAGTGTTACAGTGGATATTAGGAAAGACTTACTGAACTAAATTAGACACCCGTGGATCTGGAGCTCAAAACAAGAAAAAATTATTTCTATAAACGTAAGTGTGGGCCAATATGAGAACATGAGATGAAAGTCTCCCCCGGAACCCTTAACCCTACTCCCAATTAGAGGTGCCTGCCCCCCCCACTGTTCCCCATCCCATCACATACAGTTTTAATACGCATCTGCCTAAACCCTCTGCTTCTATCCCCACCAATATCAAGCTGAGAAGATTCTCCAGTAATGCTTTCTTACAATTCCTTTTAAAGGCAGAAAAGAGGCAAATAGATGGCCACTGATCAAGGGTCACTTAGTAAGGGAGACGTGGCATAATCACTGGATAAGCTAAATGCTGCCTGTGGACACATCCACTGTTAAACCCGCATGCACAAAAATGACAGAAGCCACCATCCAAGGGCCTGCCGTGTGGCAAGACCTTGTACCAGGTATTCTGCTTTTTAATACATGCTTTGATTTAATTAGCAAATGTATGTAAAATAGGTTTTCCTCTCCCCTTGTTTCAGATGAGGACCCCAAGACTTGGGGATATAAAACTAACTGTCCATGCTCATACAGCCTGGACGCTGGCCCTGCAAACTTCAAAGTCTGTGTCCTTCCCACTGTGCCACCCTGCCCGGGACACATCTAGGGGGTGCAGGACAAGTCACTACAGAAACATGCGCGCACACACACACACACACACACACACACACACACACACTGACCAGTAATGCAGCCTCTAAGGCCACCAGGACACGGGCTCCTCTGCAGGATGACCTCCTAGGTAACCTCCCAAGTTGCAGGTGCAATTTTTTCGGATGGACCCAGCTACTCTTCTTTCTGAGAGAACAGTGAGCAATCTCAGAGCATATCCCGCCTCTTCTCGGGACCGAAGGCTCTCAATTACATCTCTGTTCCTGCCATATCACAGAAGGCGGGAGAGAGGGTGGTGGAACATCGATGGCCAAGAATGTGGGTGTCTTGTTAACCAAGTGAGGTCCAGTAGAAGGATTTCAGTATCAAACATGCCTATGACCAGGGTCCATGGCTATAGAAAAGGGGGGAGTGTACAGGCTGGGTGATGCTGGTTTTCGCTGAGGTTAATTTAATAATAATAATACAATTATGTGCTAGGCACTGCACTCAGTGGTTTATGTGGAAGGTCTCATTTAATTCTCATACCTGTCTGGGAAGGAGGGTGCAATCTCTGTGCTCACTGTACAGATGAGGAAACTGAGGTTCAGAGCGGAGTGAAATCAACATAAGCTCACAAAGCTAATGTGTAGCCGTGCTGGGGTTCAAGCTGGGTCTGTCTGACTCCACAGCCCCTTCTCCATGAGTCCTCCCAGTGAATGCACAAGGTGCAAATGGCCCAGCTCCCAGGGCTCAAGTCCACGTCAGGCTCTGATGGGAAAACACACGCAGGCTCGGGCGCAGCAGAGATCGCCAGGGCCCTGGCCCCAGACCCCTGACCCCGACGGGTCCTACCTTACTGGTCCCTGACCTGGACAACACTCGGGACCTCTGTCTTCAGCAGAGCCTTTATCACATTTACAGAATCAACAAGGAACGGTTGTTTCTTGGGTTGTTTACAAATGGCCTTGTGTGGAGGTCAGTTTGGGAAGTGATGGAGGATCATGACCATTTACTCACTGAGCCACCTCTCTCTGTTCCTTAGTCAAGTGCAAGAGCCAAATCTGGAAGGTGATGTTGCCAGACCCACCTGTCCAAAATATCTCCCCCGCTGCTCTGCCCCAGTGGCACCCTCCTTCCCTCTGTCTTGGCCTAAAAGTTTCTTGCTGGATAACATAAAGACGGTTCCAGTCCCAGCCGACCCCTACTCAAATGGCTAAGGAACTCAGAGTAGGTAACCCAAGAATAACCTCGACCCACCAAAACATTGGGATTGATTTCTCCCAGTCACCTGAGAGATGGGAGGCTCAGCATCACTTGGTCTCTTCCACAGACAAGAACCTCACTATTCCCAAGCAGCCCCTTGAGTTGTTGGGAGGTTTTAATGATCAGAAAATTAGCCTTCACGTTAGAACCAAAATTTCTCTTGTGATTTTCGCCCATTGGTCCTAATTCTCTTCCCACAAAGGTAACCTGCTACCTCTTACACATGACAACTTCAGGTTAAAAGCACTTCTATGCCCAAAAGGTTAACCTCAAACTTCCATTGCATAGAGAAGTTAAGGTAGCTGATATCAGCACTTCAAATTTACCTCCCACCAATAGGTGGCGACAGCAGTTGGCTATAGCATGTCCCTTTGTACTTAACCTACAAATGACCTGTAATCGTCCTGTGATCCTAACCTGTTTCTAAGTAGAGGAGCTCTCTGCCCTTGAAAATGGCAATTGTATGTCCTCTGAAGAATTTCTTCTCAGGGATAGTCTCAGATCCTTTAAACAATCTTTGGGGTTCCTCAGTTTTCTGTGTGCCTCCCTTAAATGTCTACCTTAAATACAGCACCATAAACCTAACACATGACTCCAGAGGGGTCCTGAAGTGTCCAAAATGACATTCTTCTTGATATTATCAGCCCCAAGTCTGACTTTGGTCAACTTTCTTCACCTCTTGGGTTTTCTGATCTGTAAACCAGCAATAATAAACCCCAGAGGGTTGTTGTGAGAATTAAATCAGATAAAACGTGTAATATATTTAGCACAGTGGCTGTGCTCAAAACCTGTTGGTATTACACTGGATTAATGGAAACAAATAGCTCATTAGCTTTACAGGTGGCCGTCTACACCTCTCATACACACCCTGTTGGCGTGCCCCCAAACCTTTTCCACACTTTTCCTTATGCTGGCTTATGGGTAATCAAAGCCCTAAGATTGGTAATAAAAGGGCTTTCTAAACTGCAAAACGCTATAGAAATAAAAGGCAATAGCAGCTGTCTTATGAATGGTGATGATATTAGATGAGCGCCTATTCCGTAACTAGATCTCCATTATGTTCTTGTGCAAGTATCTTTTTGAACTTCAGTACAGGACTTTGCATCGATTCCTGTTAGCCTTGACTTTGTGGAGGGATTCATCAGAACTTTCTCCTTCATCTCCACTGAGGGCAGAGACAAAGGAAATAGTGACACCTCCCCCAGAAAGACAAAAGTCCTGATGCAACCAGTAGAGCCCGAGGGCTGCAGAACAAGCCACAGGTTCTTGAGGTGAGATCAGGAGACCAGGGTTACCTTTCCCACTCATTTTGCATGCGACTTTGGAAAGTTCTCTCCCCTCTCTGGACCTTGGTTTTCTCACCTGGAAAATGGCCCCGTTTGAAGATGATCTCTAAGAACCTTGCCAATCTGTGGTTCAACTGCATGCAACAGCCATTCATAGCTTAAGAACCAGCGTCTTACAAAAGCTCATCTTTTTTTGTAGATGCTGACTCAGGGGTGTTAGGAGAGGGAAGTCAGGGTGTGCAGTTCACACCAGAGAGCAGGGGTGCTTCCTGGAAGGCAGCTAAGACTGGAACAAAAGAGGAGAACTCCACACAGGGCTTTGAGGCGGCGGCAGCAGTGCACATGGGACGAACCTCCACCCTGTCGGCCACATAGTAACCCACGTCTGCCTGAATCCTGAATGGCCACCTCCTACACTCTCCATTCCTGTTGGGTTCCACATCATCTCCCCCACTCCATCTGCCCTGCCTGTGTGTGGCTCTGTCCCATTGTGTGTCACAGCTCCCCAAGGTGGGATCTGAACTTGGGGCCATCCACAATTACATACCAAATACAAGTTCCTTGTGGGTGATTCCCAGAAATTAGGAAGCACATTTCCAAATTCTGGCTTGAATATCCTTTGTTTCTGATTTTTGTGTGACCACATTGTAAAGAAAGGTGCCTCAGGGAACTCCCAGCCCAAGATGTGCAAATCTGAGTTCCACAAACTAACATTTATAAAAAGAAATCCCAGATGAAAGTGGTCACGAGGAAGATTTTTGCCTAGTGCCAAAAGGGTGGCACAAACAGTGCCAGGAGTCAGTGGGAGGACGAGACTTGTGGGCGTTGTGGTTGAGTCTGACCAAGAGCTGGAATGTGACCTGTGGCTTCCATTTGCCCCTCGGTCTTTGGGCACAAGCCAAGGACCCAGCTCCTCAAACTACACCTGAGCTCCTGCATAAATCTCCAGGTATCTCACTGTCCCCAAGGAGAAAAAAAAAGGCACTAGGTTAAAGAATGTATGACCCTAAGCAAATATGTCAGAAGAAAATAATTCCACCTTGACGTTCTAGTCAGGAAGGGGAGGGAGCTAACATTTAAGGAGACACTGACACAATGCTAGGCACTAGTTCCCATGTGTTTTCTCATGTAATCACTACATCAAGGACGGTCTTTTTATCTCCACTTTGCTGACAGGGAACGGGGCTCAGAGAGGTTGAGTGACTCGCTCAAAGTCTTACAGTGAGTGGAGGAGCCGAGTCTCAAACTCAGATCTTCTACCTCCAAAGTGTCCTTGGCTGCCAAGCCTCCCAGGAGGTAAGCAATAGTCCTGGGACACTCTAAGGGTCAGTAGCCCTGCTGGGCCAGGATTCTGCTCACTATTCTTTCCACCTGTTTAATATTTAGAGCCCAAGAGGTTCAGCAAACCTTGAGGTGGCAGGGTTCCTCATGCACGGCGCTGTTGACATGTGGGCAGATAATTCTGTTTCTGGGGCCTGACCTGTGCATGGCAGGATGTTTAGCTGCATCCCTGGCCTCTACCCACTAGGTGCCAGTAGCACCCCCTAGTTGTGACAAAAATGTCTTGACATTTCCCAATGTCTTCTGGGAGGCAAATTGCTTCTGGTTGAGAAGTACTGGAATAGAGCTATAGGCCTGTCTCTTGATAATTTCCACCCAAGAATAATTTTCTACCCAAGAAAATCTTGACTGTCCAGTCTCTACTTACGTCTGTGGATAGACAACCAGTAATGACAGCGATGATGACAACCACGAACACAACAGCTACGATTTATCGAGTTCTTACTACCCACCGGTTACCATGCTAAGGACTTTGTATTTTCTCACATGTATTATCTCTATTTCCAGATGAAGGCACTGAGACTCAGAGAGGTTAGGGAACTCACCCAAAGTTTCAGTGCTAATGCACAGCAGAGCTAGGCTGTTGTAACTAATTACCACAAAGCTAGTGGCTTCAAACAACACAGATTAATTTTCTTATCGTTCTAGAAGTCAGAAGTCTAAAATCAGTCTCAGGGGGCTAAACCCAAGGTGCTGGGAGGGCAGTTTTCCCTTTGGCTCTGGGGGAGGCTAACCAGCCAGAGAGAACAGAAGTATAGATACTGATTGACTAGAAGATCCTCCAATGAAATGACCAGGTTCCTTCCAATTAGCCAATGGGGAGGCTGCTAGTTGATAAGCCCGCCCCCAACTCCCAGAGCTTCCCATGAACTTTTTTTTTTTTTCCAACGAGCTTTTTAGTGTCTTAAATAGGAACAGACAGGGAAGGGTCAGCAGGCCTTTGGGGATAAACACCTCAGATATAAAGAGATAGCTAACAGGACAAACGAGCAGAGCCATTTAAAGCAAACAGAGGTAATACAAAGAACAGAAGAAAACTTCATCGTCCTCAGAGAGATAGGATCTTACATCTTTAAAACAAGAACAGGATGCTGTAAGAAAAGAACATTCCGAGGACTAGAAAGGGTGCTAGGAAATTAAAAATTGACAAAAGGAATAAAAATTTCAAAAGAAGGGTTGGAAGAGAGTTGAGAAAATGTCTCATAAAGCAGAACAAAAAAGATACAGAAAGAGAAAGTAAGTGAAACGTTACTCCAGGAGGTCCAGCATCCTAATAAGAATTCCAGA